AGATCATTGAGCCGAGGTACATGAAATCATGAAAAGCCTCCAGTTCTTGTGTAGAGATGGTAATAGAGAGAGGTGACTAACATAGCCAGTCATGAGGAATGATGGGAAATCTGGTCAAACAGCATTGGAGGACCACAGGCATCCCACATTTCTTCTAGAATTGGAAGATGAGATCCAGATTACCTCAAATGAAGCTTCCATAGGGCTGCACTGCAGCAGAGAAGGAAAGCAGGGCAACCAATAGCCCTGCTGCAAAATCATTTTCATGAGGGTTTTTTTTTTCTCTTCCCCAAACTGCACAAGATACAAAGCAAACCATCACCTGAACCATGGGAGGCTCGAAGATACAGTTACACTACCAGATGACTGATGCTATTCCAATGTAGCTTAGTAGTTACTATGAAAAGCTATTAATTAGAAGTAACTGATCTTTTAGAACTAATTACTTCCACACAAAAAAAGTTTCACCAAAGTCAGTGTGTTTGGGAACAGATGTTGTTTAACCAACTGAACTACATAATCACGTGTGCTGTGCTATAATCTCCACCAGGGAAGTGCATTTTCAGTTTATCGTATGGCAGTATTTGTTCCACTTGGCTCCAAGCCTTATAGAACGGTCAGGTCAAAGCCTGCAGCTGTTATCTTTGGCCACACAGATGAGCCTCCACTGCAAATGGAAATGAAATCTAGTGGAGTTGTCTTGGCAAAAGTGCTTGTTGAAAAGCTACAGGCTGTGAGCTCTCCTTAGAAGGGCCAGCCCTCCAATTAGGCAATGGAGAAGTGGGGGAGGGTCTCCTTAAAAAGGTAAAGGTTCCCCTTGACATTTTTAGTCCAGTCGTGTCCAACTCTAGGGGGCAGCGTTCATCCCGTTTTTCAAGCCGTAGAGCCAGCACTTGTCCGAAGACAGTTTCCGTTGTCACGTGACCAGTGTGACTAGGGAGCGCCGTTTTACCTTCCCATCGAGGTGGTACCTATTTATCTACTCGCATTTGCATGCTTTTGAACTGCTAGGTTGGCCAGGAGCTGGGACAAAGCAACGGGCACTCACTCTGTTGTGTGGATTTGTTCTTACGACTGCTGGTCTTCTGACCCTGCAGCAGAGAGGCTTCTGCGGTTTAGCCCACAGCGCCACCACATCCCACTAGGGTCTCCTTAGGTGACAGCAAAGTGTTAGAGTGGAGAACTCCATCCCTTCTGGTCTGCCTTCAACCCCAAAGTGAGCCTGTTACTCTGGTGGAAGTGGTCTCCTTTGCAGCGCTGAGGAACGATTTCATTACTGCAAAAACCTGGCTTTTGTGCTTGAAAAGAGAGAGAAGGTGTTGTCATCTGATTTGCTTACACAACACCAGGTGGATTTTGTGGTGTACCATCTTCTCTCCACTGTTAATAGAGAAACAGTTTGCTATCTGCTCATGAAAGCCCCGGCTTTACTTCAACTCAACTGCTCCAAATCCAGCTCTCAGACACAACCTAAGCAGAATCCAAAGGTTCAGCACTCCTGTTTTGCCAACTACAGAGATACCTAAATCTGCCTGCTTATTAAACTGCTTACCTGTGAGGAAGCCAGATCTCTGCTGCTGAGAATTGTTCTAGGTATAAATCCCATTGCTCAAGAAGGCCATACATGTCAGGCTGGACGAGAGGAATGTTCACACATTGTTCCCACCCATGTTCAGCTTTGTGAACTCCTGCTTCGTTGTAATTATACACCAAACCTAAAAATAAAAGCAGTAACAACAGGCCCGCTCAGATGTGGGAAAGCCAGGATGTTTATTTAACTGTTGTGCTTTGATTCACGGCAAAATTCACTGCTGTCCAAACATTACTGTCACCTCTGTCTTTTAAAACAGATTACCTGAAAATTTATCAGAAAACTCATCCACATTCATACAATGTACTGTAGTCTGACGGAATATTTCAGAACTCACAAGCCGCCAAATATCTAGCTGTCACAGGTCTCAAAGCACTGAGATACACACCATTCTACAACAGTGGAAGATTATTCCCACAACAAACATGGCAAGTCTAGATTTTAAACAGAATTTGCATATAGTGACACACACCGGTCCAAGAAAACAGAAACAGTCTTTTGGGTTTAGAAGTGCCACTTTTCCAAGCATCTGCTAACATCCTGAACAATACAAAAAGCAAAGGTAGCTGTGCTGATGATAAAGATATATATATATACATATGTAAATCAAAATCCACATTTTAGGTCATTTTAAGAAGTACCATTCTCTGCAGGTTTGAGGGGTTTCATCTTCAAATCCAGCAAATGTTTGTTTCCTTTTGGTTGAACCAATAAGGTTGTTAGACTAACATGGATCTTGAAATCCGCCCCATCCTCAATTGCTCTTCTGCCACTGAATGAAACATACGGTAACTGAAGTCTTTTGTCATCTCACCCCTAAATGCTGATACACTTACAATAGGCTAAATATGGCTTATTGCTTGCAGGCTTCCCCCCACATTCCATAGCCCCCCCCCAAGTAAGTTCTTGACATCATGGAACGAACGCAAGCATAAACGATAAGAGGGCATGTTTTGTCAGCAATGGGGCCTTGGAAGATGATTTGCTGTGGAGCCTGAAGGTTTAAGAGGACAACACTGGCCAGGACCCTCTTAGGCAGAGCTGGAAGATAAAGCTCAATTGGCATAATAATGTGGGACCTGCCACATTGCTGCTATGCAAGGAAAAATAAAAATCAGAAATAAAAGCCGCTTTGTATGCTCATTGTTTTTAGCTTTAAATATTGTATGTTAATGGTGTGATGCCTTGGCCCCTTTTTAGGGAGAAAGGCAAGATAGAAATATATGACATAAATAAATATCATAGTTTGACTCTACAGGATCCCAGCCAATGGCAACAGAAAAAGTAACCAGAAAGGAATGACAGCTCATCAAAATGGAAGGAAATGGCTCTGAAAACCTACGTATAAAGCAGATACATTGTCCCAAATGCTGGATATTGACAGAAATTGGTGCTTAGAATACAATGCTTATTGCAGGGATATTGACAGAAATTGGTGCTTAGAATAAGGAGTAATGACTACCTGAAACAATGCTTATTGCAGAAAGTACCTTGGGAGATAGAGAGATGTAAGCCTGGGAGACTGGCCTGGAAAGGGGGAACAAGAAGAGGGAAGAGGAAGTTTCAGCAGGTGCAGCTTTTAATGCATGCTGATCTGCTGAAATATCCTCTTCCACAAGCATTAAAGATACAGGAGACCTGCCTTCTTTTTTAACTGGTCACTCTGAGAGGGGGGAGCTCCATTCCCCCGGAGATACCAGTCTGTACTCCAAGGGTGTGTGTGTGTGAGAGAGAGATCAAGCAAGACTGAAAGGGGCCTGCTCCACCACAACTGCTCTCTGCAGCCCTCGCTGCCCCCCCACTTCCAACACCAGGAATGACAGAGGAGAGGTCCAGCTTTAAACCTCAGAAAGACTCATCCTTTTGAAATGAAGTTCCCAGATTCCCCCTCCACAACTCTGGGGACCCTGGGATTAGCTGGAGACCTCAGACTGACAGAAAGAATTGAGTTTTTGGTAGATTTTTGATTCTGACCTTTGCCTTCCCCTCCCTTGATGTGTGCCAATCTGCTATGCAGGATAATAATACTCTTAAGTCAAATGGGCATGAGATATTTATGACACAGAGAATTTCTTTTCACAAGATCAATTATAAACTCCTCCTTACCTTTGGTACTGGTTATCCCAACATGAAGGTCAGAACTTCCATCATAGCCACTGCAAGAAGACATTCGTTATCACTCATGTTGAAAAAGCAATCCGAGGTGGGGTTCGGGAGGGTGCCCTAATTGTGCTCCATCTAGAGCTGCCCTGTTTTGCTTTGTTTTTGCCTGAAAGAGGCTGGGTATGGCCCAGCCACATTTAACTTTACTCACATCCATTTGATCAGAAGTACACATGTTAATTGGCCTATTAATTTATTTAAAATACTTTCCAATCCAGTCAATGGCAGCCCCTGTTAACCAGGCGACAGATATAACATAGACATATTTTTGAGACCAGTCCTTAAAATAACTGCAGGTGATGAATGCCCTCTTAGAAGAAGCATTTTCCTAGAAGGAATGTATTGTTTACTGCATGCAAATCTGATTTATTTCTTACTATTTATTATCTGTTTTAGTGCTTCCTCTTAGAAGAAGCATTTTCCTAGAAGGAACGTATTGTTTACTGCATGCAAATCTGAATTATTGATTTATTTCTTACTATTTATTATCCGTTTTAGTGCTTCTTTTAATTAGGTTGCAACCATCTATTTGACACATTCTAGCATAATTCCTTGGCAATAACCATCTGCTCATCTTGGGATCTGTGGCTTTGCAAAGCTGAGTCTCCAAATGAAGCCTCACAGTCAGTCAGTTGGGCATCAAGAGGATCTTTCATACACATGAGTATAACCTGCAGGACAGGCAGGGACCGAGGGAAATAATAACATGTATTCTCCCCAACAGTGATGATGAAGGCTTAAGTCTTTGGTGGTGGGTGCATGTAACTGCTTTGCATGCAGAAGGACAAGGTTCAGTCCCTGGCATTGGGAGTCTTCCTGCCATATCTCAAAGGAACAAAACTGTGCAAGAAGGCAAACTGAGATCTTGGCAAAACAGTGCGACCAATCAGAATATTGGGTGGGCCAAAGATACAGCGCAGTGTGAGGCAGCTTTTGTACATCTTGTTTCTGATCAAAGTAAGTAATACCCCAAAGCTGGAAAGGTTACTTTTCTAGACTACAACTCCCAGAATTCTCCATCCACCATAGTGACCAGCCACGCAGGCTGGCAAATTCTGATAGCTGTAATCCCCAAAACACAATCTTTCCAAAAATTAAGAGAACACTTCTGGAAGCATTAACAAAAAGCAAACCAAAGAAGAGCCATACCTTAGAAATGTTCCTGTAGTAGGTTTAAGCAAAAAAGAACATCTTTCTCTGTGCCCGTTCACAAATGGACTAGGGATGCTGACTGGTGCTTCTTCCAGTTTCCTGTAGACCAGACTCTGACCACAAAGAGGGCAGTGCTTGGGCACAGAAGAGCCAAATATGTCTTTGTTACAGTGGCTGATTTTGATTAAGCTTTTCTCTGAGTCCAAAGGCTGCATGATTTCAGCCACCTCCTTGTGTAAATGCAGCTGGTTTCCTACCTGTCAGAACCCTGGTGACAAAAGCCAAGGCTTAGTCAGTGAAATTGACACGGGAAGGGGAAGGGATCTGGATGCAGTGTGATTCAGAATGACAGCCTGCAGAACCAATCACTTCTGTAATGGAAAAAAAAAAGCCCGGTAAACAAGGAAGAAGGGGAGAAAGGAAAAGAGAGGTAACTACCTGAGCATTCTCTTAAAGAGCTAGTGGCAGGTTTTTTTTAAATACTACTCACATCTGAGACTTCACTGGAATTACTGTAATGAGAAGATCCATTTATTTTGGACTTACGTAGATGTGATCTGTCTCCATTGGTTCGCATTTTCCATTTTCTGCTGCCATCTGCAATCCAACAATTTTGTGTTAGCGGATGTGTTGTCTCCTTTGCATAAGACTGGAGAGAAAGACAACCATATTTGGAGCTGCCATCTTTTTTTCCTCACAAGAATCCTGTGACTTCAGTACTTGCTGCATGGGTAAAAATGCTGAATGTAAAAGGTGACGCTTTAGGAATTCTAGGCCTGAAAAGTATTAAACTCTGGAACATGAATTGTACATGTCCTGCAGCTTTGAAGGAAAAAAAGGAACTCCAACATTTCTACCAACAATTTGAAAAATACACAATTCTTTGTGGGCATAGAAATGGAAAACATCTGAAATTTCCATTTTTTCCAGGAAAAAAAACCAATTTCCACCCTTTTGGTGGGAGTATGGAAATCTTCAGAAATTTTCCATCTCTAGAGAGAACTTAAATATATAAAGTCTCAGATGCCTTTCACTGAGGCCTTCATGTTACACAGTTTGAACACCATGTTACAGACATATAATTTATCATTGTAAAAGAACATATTCCACACTTTGTTTTTTTAAATTTCCTGAGGGGAAAAACAAAAAATTGCTTTGGACAAAAATGGGGGGGAACTGTTTTTCCCCAAATTTTCCCATTCTCCGCCCCCCCAGGCCTTCCCATCTCTATGTGGCCATTATATTTATTTTATATTATTATTGTAACATGTGGGTCATTTGAATAAATCCAAACCGTTTTTAAAAAGCAACCAAAACTGTAAAATCAAAACATTAAAGGTAAGATTGGACAATACCTAAAGTTTCTTTTCCGAAACATTACATTCTGTACCAAATATTCTCATAATATTAAGTAGCATGATGGCATAAAATTATAGCATCTCATGGAAAAATCTTGGTGTATGTGTACCAGATGGATACATGTATTCAATTCAGGATGACATTCCATGCATCAGATAGAGCCAGTCAGTGGACTCTGGATCAAGAATGGTGAGAGGACAGCAACTGTAACAAATCTGGAGGGCAGCATTAAACAATTTTTAGTCTTTGAGGTGCTACAAAAGCTTTTGCTGTTGAATTTATTTCTAAGTATACCTGTACTCCTGAGCACCTTTATCTCACAAAACTCAATGGCTCTTATTTCTGAATAAGCATACTTATCCTTGCACATTGCATGTAAGCTGAATTAGACAAAGCTAAGAGAAGAGAAAAAAAACAAGCAAAAATAAGACCTGGAGCTGATTGTGGCTCTGATCATCAGCTTCTTATAGCAAAACTCAAGCCTAAACTGAAGAGAGTAGGAAAAACCACTAGGGCTAGTCAGATACAATCTAAGCCAAATCCCTTATGAATACACAGTGGAAGTGAAGAACAGATTTAAGAAACTAGATTTAGTGGACAGAGTGCCTGAAGAACTATGGATGTAATCTTGTAACATTGTCCAGGAGGCAGCAACAAAAACCATCCCAAAGAAAAGGAAATGCAAGAAAGCAAAGTGGCTGTCCAACGAGGCCTTACAAATAGCAAAGAAGAGAAGGGAAACAAAACACAAGGGAGATAGGGAAAGTTACAGAAAATAGAATGCTGACTTCCAAAGAACAGCAAGGAGAAACAAGAGGGCCTTCTTGTCTCTCCTTGTGCAAAGTGCAAAGATATAGAGGAAAAGAATAGAAAGGGAAAAACCAGATATCTGTTCAAGAAAGTTGGAGATATTAAAGGAACATTTTGTGCAAAGATGGACATGATAAAGGACAAAAATGGGAGGGACCTCATAGAAGACATCAAGAAGAGGTGGCAAGAATACACAGAAGAATTATACCAGAAAGATGTGGATGTCCCAGACAACCCAGATAGTGTTGTTGCTGACCTTGAGCCAGACATCCTGGAGAGCGAAGTCAAGTGGGCCTTAGAAAGCATGGCTAACAACAAGGCCAGTGGAGATGATGACATTCCAGTCAAACTATTTAAAATCTTAAAAGATGACGCTGTTAAGGTGCTACACTCAATATGCCAGCAAATTTGGAAAAATCAGCAGTGGCCAGAGGATTGGAAAATAGACCAAATTACTAACATGCGCTGGATTATGGAGAAAGCCAAAGAGTTCCAGAAAAACATCTACTTCTGCATGATTGACTATGCAAAAGCCTTTGACTGTGTAGACCACATCAAACTATGACAAGTTCTTAAAGAAATGGGAGTGCCTGACCACCTTATCTGTCTCCTGAGAAATCTATACATGGGACAGGAAGCAACAGTTAGAATTCGATATGGAGCAACTGATTGGTTCAAAATTGGGAAAGGAGTACAACAAGGCTGTATATTGTCTCCCTCCTTATTTAACTTCTATGCAGAATACATCATGTGAAAGGCCGGAATGGAGGAATCCCAAACTGGAATTAAGATTGCTGGAAGAAATATCAACAACCTCTGATATGCAGATGATACCACCCTGATGGCAGAAAGTGAGGAGGAATTAAAGAACCTCTTAATTAGGGTGAAAGAGGAGAGTGCAAAAAATGGTCTGAACCTCAACATAAAAAAAAACTAAGATCATGGCCACTGGTCCCATCACCTCCTAGCAAATAGAAGGGGAAGATATGGAGGCAGTGACAGATTTCACTCTCTTGGGCTCCATGATCACTGCAGATGGAGACAGCAGCCACGAAATTAAAAGACCCTGCTTCTTGGGAGGAAAGCAATGACAAACCTAGACAGCATCTTAAAAAGCTGAGACATCACCTTGCCAACAAAGGTCCATATAGTCAAAGCTATGATTTTTCCAGTAGTGATGTTTGGAAGTGAGAGCTGGACCATAAAAAAGGCTGACTGCTGAAGAATTGATGCTTTTGAATTGTGGTGCTGGAGGAGGCTCTTGAGAGTCCCCTGGACTTCAAGGAGATCAAACCTATCCATTCTGAAGGAAATCAACCCTGAGTGCTCAGTGGAAGGACAGATCCTGAAACCGAGTCTCCAATACTTTGGCCATCTCATAAGAAGAGAAATCTCCCTGGAAAATACCCTGATGTTGGGAAAGTGTGAAGGCAAGAGGAGAAGGGGACGACAGAGGACGGGATGGTTGGACAAGGTCACCGAAACTACCAACATGAATTTCACCAAACTTCAGGAGGCAGTGGAAGACAGGAGAGCCCGGCGTGCTCTGGTCCATGGAGTCACGAAGAGTTGGACGCGACTTAATGAGTAAAGAACAACAAGAGAAGAGAGCAAAGACAAAAAGAAACAGGATTTGTCCGACTAGCATCAGCAGTGGTGCTACTAGATGATCTGACACCCTGGGTCTGACATCATGTATGCCCCATATTCTGATGGCCATGTACAATATCTTCAAGTACACAACTACCATAACATTTTCCTCCCCCCCCCCAACCAGGATCCCATGCCTTACAATTGCTTCTACATTTCTGATATATCTTCTGAGACCTAATCCTAGATCCACAACACTGACTCTCAGTAAACATACAAGAGCCCCAAATCATGCATACAATATCAAAATTTACCACTAGAGGGAACCATAAAGTTTTCCCCTGTATTTTCCTCGCAAGTTAGCAAAGTGGGCTGCCGCCCTTGAACAACAATGGTAATTTAATCAGTTCGGGCTGACCTAGGATCTTAGAGGGAGAGTTTTTGTCAATGACCCAACATATGTTTGTCTCTGGAGAGTCATTTGTCCTGGAATCTCCTGCTCCCGTGTCCTGCCCTGCCTGCACCACCTCCTGCCGCATAACTGGGAGAAGCTAAAACTCAGCTCAATCCCAGTAAACCAGTCTCCAAGTTCCCCATAGGCTGTTGGAACCGGTTGACAGCGACTGTATTCGTTCCAAGGTGCCGGTAGGAGGCGCTCTGCCCCATTCTCGTATTTGTGTCTGGCCGCGGGTCTGTCTATGAATACCTCAGGCATTCTGTACCTGTACTCTCTGACTTCAAGGCTCTATTGACCCTTTCCTTCAATCGACGTCAGTCTTTCTCTCTGATCGAGTACATCGCCTCAAACCGTCCGACCGGAAACCAGTTCTCGCGAGAAGGGGCCGGATGCTTTTGCCGGGCTTCCAAGCAGCTCCTCCCTCCCGCCTTTCCCTTCCCGCGCCTTGAGCTCCGCAGCAAAGCTCAGCGGAACCAAAATGCGAGGAGCCGCGCGGGGAGAGGAAGCCGAAGCCGCCGCGGGAGTGGAGTCGGAGGAGACATGAGCACCACTAAGGACGTCACCTGCAGGTCAGAGATGAGCAGCCATCGCCTGGGATGAATAATATCTCTTTCCCCCCCCCCGCGCCGGTCCCGCCCTCCCTCTCTCCGTACCCCGCCCCCCAGAAAATGGTCGGGCGTGGAGGCGCCGCAATAGGACCTTGCCCGCCTTCCCCCCCCCCCGTTAAGCATCCCCTTGGCCACATTCCCGACCGACCCCCACGTGAAAGGAAGCCCCAGTGTAGGCTAGGCCGGTGTGGGCTCTCTCTCTCTCTCTATTTCCCTGGCAACAGCTCTCCCGCGCCTCCCCCACCAACACAAACACACACACACACACAAAACACACGGTTGTCTACAAGTTGCCCAGTTGGTCCTTCCGTCCACACTTGCGGGCTTCTCCGTTGTGCGTTGGGTTTCTCTTCTTGTTAATACTACTGTTGCTAGTCGTCGTCGTAGTAAACATAGAAAGTAGTACTAGCAATAGTAGTAGTAACCTCCAACCTAGTAGTAGTAGTAGCAGCAGCAGCATACAGAGCACGTTGCCATAGTCTTTCGAGACTGAAGGATGCCTAAACCAGTAGTAGTAAACTTTGCAAGTAGGAAGCCCTTTCCAGAGCCTGTTGAGTTTGGCCATCGAGGGCAAATGACCATGTGGCCTTCTCCATAATGTTGAGGGCAGCTTGCAGTAGTGAGTCACAGGGTCCCCTATCCGCCTTGAGAGATTCATATGAGATTTTCTTCCCTTCTGCCTGAGTATCAGAGCTGGGCAATAACTTACTTAATTGTACAGATGCAATAGTGGGTGGTATCTTTAATTGGACCATTAAACAGATAGCAAGGTTCTGTGTAGGAAATCCACTTCTTCAGGCTAACCATACCTCCTTTAGAAGGTGCACTAGGTGCAAGAAATGAATTAAGTCAAATAATGAGAATTACCTAATGTTTTACAAGTTGAAGTTCTTGTTATAATTTAGTCTCTTCCGAGTCTTGAGTCTTATTTCTTAAATAAGACAGTCATGTCACTTTGTGCAGTTGGCCTGGGTCCCACAGATAGCTACCGTACTTCCATTAATCTTCATTTGCTTAATTGGAAAGCAACTAAAACTTGACACCACAGCAAAGTGGGATAGAAATTCACATTATTATCCAAGTATTACTAGACATCACATCAATAGCTCTGCCAATTTTTAATTTTCCCTCTAGCATTAAAATATCTCTTAGAATTCATGAAAGTAAGCTTTCAGCTTATAACATACAGAAAATGTGTTGGACACCTGTGTGTTCTGAACACAAAAAGAAGTTTTGTAACATCACCTCCACCCAGAAGTACCGTATTTTTCTGTTAATAAGATGAACCCCCCCCCCTTTTCTAACTTCCAGATTTGAAAATTTGCACGCTCAAACCCCTTTGATCCTGAAGCCCTTTCATGGTTCCTTCAGGATCAAAGGGGTGCGAGCGTGCCGCCCTTTCATGGCTGTGGTACCCTGTGGCTTCGCAAAAGGAGAACGGAATGTGGCTGCCTTCCATCTATAAAATGATACTCAAATTTTTATCTAATTATTTAAGTAAATACTGTAGTGTCATTTTATAAACAGAAAAATACGGTATCAGTGATCCTAATTGGAGGCATAGTTATTCTGAGTGCCTCATTTTAAATGTTAGGTTTTAATTTCTGTTTTTGCTGGTTTCGTATTATAGTGTGTTTAAACTATGAAGAGGAAAGATCTATTTGCCCTACCAGAATAAGATTGAGAGGCAAAGAGTATGTCTGAGATCTGGTGCCATTTGTGACCGTAAACCTAATTCACTGCAGGTATTTTATGCAAGGAGTCTGTCGTGAAGGGAATAGGTGCTTATTTTCACATGACCTATCTACAAGCAAACCATCTACTATTTGCAAATTCTACCAGAAAGGACAGTGTGCCTATGGAACTCGCTGCAGGTATGAACTGCTTATTCTGAGGATAAAACATGTGGACTTTTTCCCATAGTGACATTCAAGAAGCCATTTATGTAAATTGTCTGTCTAGACTGACCTTAAACCGCTACCCTGTTTGCCCGAAAATAAGCCCTAGTATGATTTTTCAGGATGCTCATAATATAAGCCCTACCCCAAAAATAAGCCCTAGTTAAGTGAAACCCCACTCTCCACCATTGTGCAGCGTTATGCAGCAACCAGAAGATGACATGACTGTAAAATAAAACATCCCCTGAAGCCTTAATGGGTTTTTTGGAACAAAAATTTATATAAGACCTGTCTTATTTTCAGGGAAACATGGTAGATTTTCTTTCTTTTCTTTCTTATTTGGAATCACAAACAGGCTTGATTTTCAAGTTCCTAGATTGTTGCTACGATGATATAATCTAAAAAGCTCTCAGCGGTGAAGCTAGTAAATAGTTGTATAGAAGTTTGCCAGATGAATAGACTGCACTGTTCATCTGGCAAATTTAAATATAGCTATTTACAGTGCAGTCCTGTACATGTCTTACTGCTCAATCTCCCTGAGTTTAATGGTGCTTATTCCTAGAAAAATACAGAATTGCAGCCTCAAGGTATTCAAGTGTAGTACATCATACAGAGCCTTACTGGCTTCTGTAGAGCTACAATCCCGTACATGTTTGCTTGTGAGTATCCATTAATGAGATCTGCTTCTCAGTAGGTTTGTGTAGAACTGCCCTTTGCTCAAATACTATTTGTAAACTGATTGTCCAGCTGCAGTAAAGTCATTGGGAAATTTAGGTTTTTCTAGTAAAAACAGACTCAGACATTGATTGGGTTGTTAGGCTGCACTCTTGTCCATACAACTCATGGGCTACTCCATGCATGGGCTTCCTGCTAAATTGACTTCCGGCTAAATGACTTTTAAAGGACCACACTATTAAATGTTCTTATACATATGTACATTTCTTTTGAAATCTGTTGCTGTTGTTTTTAAGTAAATATTCTGTATATAGAAATGTGGCATATAAATAAAACTAATAAATAATAAAATAGATATAAATGAACTGGATGTTATTCTTCTATAACATGTGTGATTGTGTGTTTTTTGCCATCAAGTTGGAACCGCTTATAATGACTAATAGGGTTTTCAAGGTAAGTGAAATATTTAAAGAGTGGTTTTATGAGTTCCACTCCCCCAGTGAGTTTCCATGGCCAAGCGGAGATTTGTACCCTGTTCTCCAGAGTCTTAGTCCATCACTTTATCCACTACACTACACTGGGAATCTTCTGTAACATAGGGATCCTGATAGTCCTATTACAGAGGGAGCCAAAACAACAAGAATACTGAAAGCTTGTGAACTCTTAATTTTTTTTTATGTACCATTGTTCTTGTAATTTAAGAATAGTTCATGTATTGAGTGAACCTCATCCTTGACAGCACAGTTAACATTTCTATAGCTTGGAAAAAAAACTATCCAGTGAAACAAGTCCTTATTGCAAATGTTGCTATCTCTGAAAGCATTCAAAGTAACAAGGAGCAATCTGCACCTTTCTTTTGTGTATGAATGCAGCCCCTTTGAAATAAATGACTGTAGCAGGGTTTTTGTTGTTGTTCTTTTTGTTTCATTAAGGTATGACCATATCAGACCTCCCACGTCTTCTGCATCAGGTGTCATGGGGAGTACAAGAACCCTTCATGCTTCGGCTCCACCGTTCTACAGCCTTAACTGTCTGCCAGAGCAAAATATACCAATAACCAAAAGTAAAGTACAAGAACCTGGAAAACGGGAAAAGAAGACACTAGTGCTCAGGGACAGAGGTGAGGAGAAGTGGGTGGTGGTTCATTTTTCTAATGACTTTTTAAATGTCAGCATCTTCACTCATGTATTGTTTGTTTGTTAAGTCGTCTAGTCGTGTCCGACTCTTCGTGACCCCATAGA